TTGCGAGCGATATATGTCTAGCATCATGACCGCCGCGACGTCAAGCGCTTGCGCGTCCAGAAGCGCTGCGGCCACATATCCGATCCGACGGCGCGTCCACGCTCTGGTCGCCTTTCCAGTCGAGCCGTATCCTCTTTGAGCGTCTTGGTGGCCGTCTTGTCGCTGCGGACAGTGGCTTGGCTAAAGCGCTGCTTTCCGACCCGTGCTGCCTTCTCCTTGGGCGTCGCGCTCGCCTTCTGCACGGCGCGCGCCTTGCGCTTGCGCTCATTCGATGCTCGCATGTTGCTTTAATCTAGACCAGCTACATCGCCAACTTTAGTACCAAGAGCGGCCGGTCAATGTACATCACCGAGCGGCATGGCGGCGACCGCCGGTCTGTCAAAACGCATCAATGAATTGTTGCGATCTATCCAATCATATCAATGAAGCAACAACTTTTAAGCGAATCCAAAATGGGGCAGGCGAACAATCCCCTATGGGCTGCGTCACCAGGAGGAACCTACCAGTATAAACGTGTCCTTGAGCGCCCATTCTCTGTCGCAGTGTCCATGCACCTCAATTAATCTTGGTACGAGTCTGCACCATATCCTCACTCTGCCGTTTGCTCTCTCCGACTCCCCCAAGACAACAATGAACTGCCTCCTCCGAACGATGGTCGCCGCGATGGCCTTGAGCGCCATGACTGCTGCGTCAACCGACGTTCAAGATGGGTACGGCCAGGAAGCCAACGGATACAACGCCCAGACCAACTACAACGGTAACAGCTACGGCTTGCGTGGCGGGTATGGCCAGGGGTACGGCCAGGGCTATGGCGCGTCCAAGTATGGCGGTGGTTTTGGCGGCCGCGCTTATGGCGGTGCTGCCAGCTATGGCGCAGGCTACGGTGGGCTTCGTGGTGGTAATGGCGGCGCCAACTATGGCCAGCGCTACAACCGTGGCTACGGCATCGGCAACACGTACGGTGGCAACACGTACGGCGAAGGACAAGGGTACGCTGGCGGCAACACGTATGGGGAAGGTCAGGGCTACGGCGCTGGAGCCAGCTACGGCGGGCTCGGCTCGAACCAGTACTTTCGCTAGGGAGCCCAAGCCTGCGCTGTAACACTACGTACTATAAGCCGATAAGAACTCGAATGGCAACAATCTACTTATTGTCAGTCGAAAAGACAGATTCGTGTTTCAACCTATACAGTTATGCCTCATTTGACCAACGGTGTCCACTTGAGAAGATGGCACTAGAGTATTTGAAAGATCACAAAGGTTGCTGGTATCTGTTGATCCTGACGATTCATCCATGGGTCGCTTGGTTGTCGTCGTCGTCATTTTCGTTTTGCGGACGATGGTAGAGGCTCCACTTGGCGATGGACGCCAACGTAGTCGCGAGCTCAGCGGGCGCCAAATCCAAATGCTCGGACAGTCCGCTGAGCGTCTCCGGAAAGTGACTTGCCAAGTATGTGTAGGCAAAGTCGGCGTCCGTAATGTTGCGTGCGAGCAGCGCGCTCGTGAGCTGCGCCTGGAGCGCTTTCGCCGCGCTATGGCCCGTCTCGTTCTATGGCATGGCGACGGCTAGTACGCGAAGTCGTGGAAGAGAAATAATGTACCTTGGCCGATGGGACAGGCGGGGCTTGAACCGCCGCCTTCTTTGTACGCTCGTGGTCGGCGTCGTCAACCCACAATTGGTTCGAGTCTACCATTCAAATGCTATGGGATCCACAGCTCGTAAAACATTCCACAGAACCGACTTTGAATGCGTCGCAAGTACGCGTGCAGCTCGTTGGCGTGGTCCAAGCTGCCTTGTCGAGCAACGTCGAGGGCCGAACACCCCTACCCCGCATGTTGCGTATACTTTATACTGAAACACATCAGAGTTGACGGACCGCGCGATCCAGAGCAAAGAGGTTGCAGCCGTGGTCGCCGAGCCACATGACAGTCTGGACATAGCAGCGGCGCGCGGCCAGATGCGCGGGCGTTTGCCCCTACGTTCAAATGAGTGTCTGGTCTTTCTGTGCTGGACGGACCTGGTGATCGACAGCATTCATATCCAGGCCATTGCCGTCACACCACGCTAGTATGGTCACGTTGTTGGCTGCCGCCGCAATGTGCACCAGCGTCTGACCCTAGTACGCAGCGCGTCTTGTTGGCTGGCGAAATGACTTGATGGGTACCTTGTCGTTGCGTGCTTTTAGATGCACGTGGGCATCTGCGAGCCACTGCATCGTGGCGGCCGAGCCTTTGCTCGCAGCGTAGTGCGCAATGCCATTGCCCTATGACATCATGATATTCTCAGTGTCATCGACCAGAGAGAGATGACAAGAAGCTCCTACGCGCTTGTCACAGTGCCGGAGCAGGGACGGGTCCTTCTTGGCCATCCATGCGAGAAGGGCAACGTGCCCGCCGTGGGCAGCGTAGTGCACCACCGAGTGATGCTACCGACAGAGCGATCCATCC